AGAACCCCCTGGTTTTCCCCTTTCTGGGGTTGATTCTTCTCACCACACACAGCGAAACACTCTAAAAAGGGAGCTGTGACAGGCGGAGGCATTTAGTGCCACTCTGAAAAAGAAGGTGGCAAGTGAAAAGTCAGGGGTCATTCTCTGTCCTCACATAAAACAAGGAAAGTGTGTGACCAGTGAGCTTGAGCCATTTGGCCCAGTAAATAAAATGCTTGATACTTGCAAATGCAAGTTTGAGCAAAGCAGGTAATTATTTTCTTCCTGTGTTTTGGTTTGGGTTTTTTTTCCCTCTAGTTTGATCTGCTGCTGCTGGATATCTGTGTGTAAGGACAAATGTTGTTTCTTGAAAATAAAGCAGCCTCATTTTATAAGTCAGAAATTGCTTCTGTTTAACATGTTAAATTTAACATGTTTCTTCAAAGAACCCTAATCTGTTCCTATGCTTCTGAGTGCCTCATGCAAACAGCTGGAGTGTATTGTAAGAGTGAAGGGGTTGGTTGTTCTTTTTTCATCAAATCCTGTTTGAGTAAAGTAAAAAAAAGCTTTTTGCAGTCTACATGAATGGTCTGGTGGCAGACTTGGATTAAAAGTTTATAGAGTAGCATAATTGTGGCTCCAATATGATGTCATGATAGACTAAGGTTAGTGTTCATAGCAAATAGTAGAAAGTCATAGTAGGAACTCATAGAAATAAGTACTTTTCCATACTTCTCAAGCAATCATGACAGCAAAAGAAATGTAGAAAATGACAGAAGCTATATATTTTGTCTCCAAAAAGTTGATTGTACATGTAAGTTCTTTTCTCTTCTGTCTTTGTATTTCAGCTATGTTGGACTGAACTCTTGATGTCATGTTTGACTCTTTAAATATCAAGCAGAAAGCTCTATGGCATTAATTTTATAAATAGAACTGGTACTCAAAAATAGTCTTATTGATAATCAGCTTTGTCTGTCTTAGTTCTGGAATGATCGCTACATGTTTGTGTAACTGGAAACTGTCATACATAAAATTTAATCCTTTTTGGAGCTGCCCTGTGGAACAGCATATAAATAACTAGTCAATAAGAAATGTGTGTTTTGTTCCTGTGTTTTCCTAGAATTGGAATTTTGCTGTGCAGTGGGTTAAGAGAAAGCTGTATCTTTTTTTCTCTGAAGTTTCTCTTCACATATTGCAGCAGTTTCATGGTTCTCCTGTAAATCGATGAGTCTGCTCTGAAATGGATTTTGCTGCCCTTATTTTGAGTTCTCCCTGGTTAGGGCACATGATGACATTCACTGTGCTTTGCTGTAATGTCAGTGCTCCACAGGAGATGGGGATCCCTTTGTCTCACCTGGAGTGTCTCTGCAAGATCTGTGTTACTAGCTAGAAATTAAGCTAGTGATTTAATTGCCATCTATATCTCTGTCATCTGCAGTCTATTTGGCCTAATAATCCATGAAAAAAAAGCTGTTTTAAATTGTTGGCCAACAGGATTTCTTGTTTGTATTTTTTTTTAGTTTGGCATACCAATTTTAATTTAAAATTTTCTCAGTGCTATTTCCAAAGTTAAGAAAACAGGTCTTTAGGGATTTTGTTTGTTTCTGGGTGACTAGGGCCCTAAATAGGGATTAGAGATCCCACTAGTGCTGTGAGGGGATACAGAGTGTTCCGTGCTGTGTGACAGCAGATCCCGTTTCAGTCGGGCACTGCCCATCTCCCGGCTGTGTTCGCTCTCCCTTCATCCTCCTTCAACAGCCGTGGTGGCACTGGAGCATGGGAACCACTCTGCAAAATGAACAGCTTGCTTTTGGGGCTGCCTTTAAATTACAGCCTGTGATGGCAACTAAGTTTTCTTTTTCAACTCTGGGCTTGGGGTGAGTCGGACCTAAATTCAGAGTGAAAATTAAGTGATAAATGAGAAAGGCCTAATTGGAAATCTATGAATGAGTCCATTTCCTGCCATTGACTCCAGTGCATTTCCAGGTGGATTTTAATCTGTGCCATGTGGCCCGAGGGTACCTGTGCCTGGCAGTCTGGGCTTGGGATCACACTTGCATTTTGGCAAGTGTCTGTATGGCTTTTGTATAAATTGTACCTCCGAGGAAGAAAATAATTAATTTGTAAACTTAGTCACTTAGCAGGAAGGTGGTAGCTCACCTTAGAATGTCTCAGAAAAATAAACTTTCTTTTGCTTTTACTTCTTATGCAGGTGTATTTGAGGGGGTTGATGTTGACCTATATAGCCTATTGTCCTTGAGTTTGTGCCTTGTCTTACTGCAGTGGGGATGTGCTGAGATCTGTCCTGAGCTGCATATGTAGCACAGGTGGTAAAACCACTTCAAACTTAATATAGAATCGAAAGAACAATGTTAATGCACAGTTGCAGTGATGGATGACCTGCAGTTGAGATCTTAAACTTTTTCTTTTTTAGAATGCCTGCAGCTGGCCCTGACAGCTGCCAGAGCTCAGTTGTGGAGGCCTTTGATTATTTAGTTATTTATCTATTACTTTTTAGACCTAACTGCCAGGCTGCAGAGAGGGGAGAGTACTGTAAAAATGTAAATATTTAAATTTCATTTCCTTCTTGGTGACTCTGCCCTCCCTCTTTCTGTTTGGGCGGGAGGATTTGAAAAGGGTAAGTCTTTTGTTTCTCCAGCTTAGAGCACTTGAACATTCTGCTCTTGGGGTGTCCTCTTGCCCTCCATCCTCAGCAGAAGGAACTCACACCTTCAAATACAGCTTAATTGCTTTGCATTTTCTGATGGGAGCAGCAGCACAGCTGCTGCTGTCTCTCTGCTGAAGGAAGATGGAAAGGGAATTAAGTAAACAAGGAATGCTCAAGTCATCTTGGGGGCAGGAGAGTTGAGTCGACAGTTGGTTTAACTTTCAGGATTGTTAACTGTAGAATTGAACAGGTTTTGTGTGATTTTCAAAAGAATGTGTGCAAGGTGAATGATGTCCAGATTCCCCCTTGTTCATTTGGAATGAGTGCTTGAAGCTCCAGGGCGGTACCCGTGAATGCAGAGCCGCCTGGCTGGACCTGCACAGTGCAGCCACCTGCCCCTGGCACACAGCTCCCTTAGGCTCTAGTGCCTCCAGGAGTTTCCCTTCAGGACCTGAACTGAGCTCAAACCCAGCTCCTCAGGGCCAGCACAGCTGTTTATGAGCTGTGGAGCACAGTGGCTGCCGGCTCTGCATCGCCCTGCACAGGACTGGGGCAGTGGAAACACAAGCAAACCCTTTCCCTTTGCAAAACTTCAGCAGGAGATCAAAGGCAACCCTTTAACCTTGGGAAGCATTTTTCTTACCCAGACCTGGTTCCACATGTGCTGTTTCATCCCTGGTTTTGATCCAGACACTCTCTGAACTCACTTGAAGCTTTGCTCTCAGTGTGTCTTTGCTGCAGATTCCTTTCATTTTCTGGAGAACACTCCTGCGCAGTTGGCTTTGAACTATCCACATAGGAGTTGCTGGCCAGAAAAACCTATGTGTTTGTATTTCAGGTGATAAAAAAAAAAATTAGGATTTTTTTAAAAAGCCACATTAAAATTTCATCAGTCTTATACCTGCATTTATCTTTTATTCAGTACAGAACTGAAGAGATTAGGTGCTGTATTTTGTAATATATAAACTCCTATAACCAGCAATGAGTAAAACATACCTGTGCTCTTAGAAGATCCTTTTGTTTAGTTATTTAGTGTGTCTGCTCTTACTGTACGTCATCTGGTACCAAAAATAACTGGCCCCATCTCAATGGCATTGCCCATCCAGCGTTTTACCTGTAAAACGAGCTGTAGAGCTGATTCCAGCTGTTTGTGAGTCTAAATGTTTGATGCTGAAGTTGTGTAGCCTTTGGATTGTATTTGTACTGCTTGATTGTGTGGGAAGTGTTGGATGGGATGCACAAACACCTCTGATGGATCAATATTTTGTGTATCTAGTCTGTGCTATATAGAGGCTATAACTGAAGTGATTCACTTTGCACGGCAGAGTTGGAACATGCCCACAAAATGCTTCTGCAGAACACACAGAGGCTCATGTAGAGAAACATTTTTTCCCCAGTGCATTGCAGCAGGGAAATGTATTTTGTTCTGGCTCACCAGCGTTTTCTTTCTGTTTCGTATTTGAATTCTGAGGTGTGCAAGTTGAAACTGCCAGCTACAACAGAACTTGAGGTGCAAAGAAGTGGATATTGTACATGCAGATGTGTTGGTGGTTGTATGGGGTCTTTATAGCATCATACAGTGGTATCATATGGGGGGTTTTTTTCAACAATAAGCACATTATAACAATCTTTGTAGACTTTCTATTCTTCCTTCTTTGGTTGCACCACCAGATGAAGGGCTGATGTGGTAAATTCTGGAGAACAGAGTGATGTATGTGCATCTTTGAGGATTTTTACCTGCTGGAAATGAGGACAGTTTGATCTTACAATTAGTTAATTCTCTGTAGATTGTGGTCATCCTCTGGCAAACTTCTCCAGGTGTAATCTGGTTCATCTTTTGCTGAACATGCAGAACTGAAGACTGGATTGATAATGGTACCTAATTTTTAGCTTACAGGGTTTCCTTCCTGTGCTTTGCCCTTTCATAGCTGTTGGCTGAGCTGCTGTCACTTTGTTTTATTTGACCTCAGCCTTTGAGCACTTGGTGCTTTATTGCTCAGCCCTCACACACTTCCCAGGGAAGAAAACCATCATCAGAATTATTTCTATTTCTTCCTTCGTCGTATATACCAAATTGTGGTTTTCTTTTGAAGATTGTTTTCTGCAGAACTCCCTGCCACTTTGCCTCTAGTTCCCCAGAGATGTTTCATTAGAATTTGGTGTTGCAGTCTTAAGAAAACCTACCTGCCTTTGTTCCTTAAAGGACTGGCTAGTTTTCCTCATTATCATGAGGCAACAGCAGAGCTAGTGAGTAAAGATATTTTAAAAAGAGTAAGCCCCAAACCTCAGCCTTGCAGAATGGGATGTCTGGATAACTGTTAGTGACGTACCTTATCTTCTACTTTATTTTTAGATGCTCTTCTACAACGGGTAGCAGAATTGGAAAAGGTCAATGCAGAATTTCTGCGCACAAAGCAGCAACTTGAGCAAGAATTTAATCAGAAGAGAGCAAAATTTAAGGAGTTATACCTGGCTAAGGAAGGTAAGTCCTCAATTCTCTGAATTATTCTAAAGTTTATTTAACTTCATCTTCAAATAATCCCCGTATTATTTAGTCTTTTAAACAGTTATAAAAAGTATGTAAGAGATGCAATAGGTAACTACTGAGCATCCTAGAATGAATTTTAGAATTAAATTTAAAGATTAGCCTCATAGATAGGAGCCAGAGCAACTTGATGTCCATGCAAAAACACCACCAGTGAGTTTTAATACTAACTTCCTGAATTCAGGTGTGCTCTCTGGGCAGGAGCTGATCTGGTAAATGGAAAGATATATCCTGGATGCTGTGCTGTACTCTGTGTACTCTGTGGCCTTTTTTTTATATAGCATTTATTTGTCTTAAATTTCAAACTGAGGTAGGCTGTAAGCAGGCAAATGTTATAAAAGTTTTAATACCAGCCAAGGGCATCTATTTCAATAACACAATTTAAAGGAAAATTTAAATCATATGAGCTCAAATACCCGATGAACTATCAGAGAGTAGAGATAGCTGTTCTGAGAGACAGATTGATTTATCTAATTCTGATGATTTTTCTGTCTTTAACATATGAAAGCAGAGCCAAAACATAATGCATTAAGACTGCAGCTGCTGTATAAGCTTCTGAGAGCAGAAATACAACAGGCATAATGAAGATCAGATCATACAGCAAACCTTTTTACTTGTGTTTTTAAGGCTGGATAAAAGGAAATTTAAGATACAAGACACTACTGATGGGATAAGAAATTATTCTCCCATTTTGGTATAGTTAAAAAATGTAAAATAAATTGTCATAGGAGAAGAGAAAAACACCCCAACTTTCACAGGTACTAAAGTGAAAGGACAACAGAGGAGGATATACAAGCAATTACTTTTCTTTCCCTGTCCCCCCCAAAATTTTTTCTCCCTCTCTGTTCCAAGACCCTTTCCTAAATGTACATTGGGGCTGTTGGTACCCATCTTTAATACTGTCACTTGAAAACTAAGAATATTAATGCTACAGAGTCTTGGTTTTTTTACACAAGGATTAATGTCCTTTAAAGTACTTGATTAGCTCTGGGTTCTATATTTTCTATCAGGAATGAGAGCACCAGGATTAATTCAGCTTTTTGGCCCTGAGGGAAATACATGGAGATAGCTTGGTGCTGGTTGTGTACTGGCCAGATGTTTCTGCTAAATGTGATTGCCATTGAAGCAGGCTATGTGGCCATAAAACACATATTTTGTCTTAGTACTTTTGGAATTAATTATATATGTCTTCCAGAGCTGTTTGTTTCAGATTAGCCAAGCACTCAGGAGGATAATATGAAATTAGTTTAATTTCTGTTTATAGTTGCAATAATTAGAGAAGAAGTGGGTGTTCCATTGAATGTATCCTTTTTCTTAGTAGAAACTCAGTTTTACCAAAGTATTTGGTAAGGAGCAAATTAGGCTACATATTTTTCTTATGTGGGCTCTCCAGAGGGGTCACAGTGTTTCTATTCAAGAAATATGAAGCATTCCATCCAAATTGAGAACCAAGTTGGTCCCAGAAATGGGAGAAAAACTGTTTGTGCCTTTTCCAGATTCGTTACGAGAATGGGTTAAAAAATAAAAACTGTTGAAAAGCACAGTTCACTTTTGTCAGCTATATTGATCCTAGTTATATCTAGTGTCTGCTTTGTGTCTGCATCCATAAGATGCTCCTTTAATAAAAGGCAAGGGCAAGCAAAGTCAAGAAATAGCATTCCCTGAAGATACCTGCCAACATTTGTTCATTTGTTTCAGGTAGACGTTTTAATACCAGTGCTTCCTTCAGTCCCTTCTGTTCTTTGCCATAGCAACTGGGGCTACACTTCAGATTGAGCTCATTAATCAAGCTAAATGTATATAATCCTCCTTTCAGAGGACCTGAAAAGACAGAATGCAGTGCTGCAGGCGGCCCAGGATGACCTGGGCCAGCTGCGGACCCAGCTGATGGAAGCCCACGCGGAAATGGAGAACATCAAGGCCATAGCCACAGTGTCAGAGACCACCAAGCAGGAGGCCATCGACGAGGTCAAGAGGCAGTGGCAAGAAGAAGTGGCTTCTCTCCAGGCCATCATGAAAGGTAACAAGCAGGCAAGCTGCTGAGATCAGCCACCCTGATGTCTTTAGGGATTTGGGCCTGCTCTTCCTCAGAATATGGATAATTGTTATGGCTTGGGAAAGCTGCAGAAGGGCTGGATGAAGTGTAGTTCCCAAAGCTGTGAAAAGGAGCTTGATGGGTTTTTTATTGTCAACTTGAGGACAGAATTTACAATTCATGGCCATGGGAACCTCATGTATATTCAAAACATTTTCGAGGGACTATGAATGTGACTCTTCATCCTTTCATGAAGTATGATGCCTATAATTTGACGAATCTGAAAACAGCTTTAATCTGCTAGCATGATTCTCTTTTTTCCTTCAGTGTGAGCACAGTTCTGCTCTCACAGAGTAAGATGTCCCTCCAGTATTCACATGGGCCTTCCCCCAGAGTAGTGACTACATGCTGCTCTCTCTGGATGTTTTTTTCTTGATAGTTCTGATCTATTCCTTGCTATATTTGCACGTTGTACAGCTGTTGACATTTCTGAGACAAAGTGAATGAACAAAAGGATATGAACTGGGAACAGACTATTGCCACAAATGTCTGTTTTCTTAAAGGTTCACAAACAGGATCTAAACTATCCTGAGCCTGGAGCCTGCTGGCTGTGGGCAGTTTTTCCATCACCTCATTGTGCTTTTCACCCAGAGCAGACAAACCTTAATGTATACTGAGTACACAAATGTCTGTTTATTTACGATCTACACAGATACATGAACCTAGATTAAGGCTCAGCTGTGCCAGCTGCTGTTGCTGTGTAAACAGACAGCTCCTGACCTGAGAGGGTTAGTGTGAATCCCGGGGAAATGGAAGCTATGTGAGAAGTTTGAATTTCTTTGCCTTTTGGAGTACCTTTTTAAGGTTTTGGTCATTTGTTTGGATGATGTACTTGGAGGTACAAAAGGTACTGCTAAATAGGGTATTAGTCATGTGCATTACCTTGAAATTAGGAGTTGCACAGTTTTTGAGGATTGTTTCTCTGTTCTGTTGATGGTACTAATAGAAATTCAGTTCCTTTGGATTTTTTACTTATGTATTTGGGTTTTGGGGCAGGGAAGGGAGAGTTCACTGTTGTCCTAGTTTTCATTTATTATAGTAAATCATTGAGTGGTTGTAGGTGGAGTTCCTAAAGCTCTGTTCTTTGACTTACCTTGAAAATAAGTTTTGAAAATGCTGTTTTCTAGAGACTGTTCGTGACTATGAGCTCCAGTATCACCACAGGATGGAGCAAGAGCGAGCCCAGTGGAGCCAGTACCGAGAAAACATGGAGCGGGAAATTGCAGAGTTAAGGAGACGACTGTCTGAAGGCCAGGAGGAGGAAAACCTAGAAAATGAAATGAAAAAGGTACATTGGAATGAAGTTCCTCAGTTTCTGTTTGAGGACAGGCCTGTGGGGTCACACATGGGTTCATTCCTATGCCTGCTGTAATTCCTCAGCAGTTCACACAGCCTGGTCCTGCCAGCTGCCAGCCTTTGTTCATGGAAGTCATCATGACCTAATCCATTTGAAGTCTTAAAGGCTTTGTTCCTAATTATATGCATTCAGTGAGAGAATTGCACTTGAGAAGACAGTAAAGTTTTGCCTTCAGCTTATAAAAACAGGCAGCCCTGTAAAGTCACTTGTCATGATGTCAAATGAGCTCAAGTAAAAACCACCTTGAGATTTTTCTGGATTGACTGCAGTTTTATAAAGTTTCCTTTACACTTCTGTACTTCTTTCTCCAGGTCTTAAAAACTTGCAGTTCCCATTAAAAACCTCAGAATATCTAAGATGTCTTTCCTCTTTCTCTAAAGTAAGCCATGGCTGTGCATCACAGTACTGCTGCCTCCCCAGGAAACAGAGAACCTTGCTGTGAAAAAACAACAGACTCTTCTAGATCATGAAAAATAATTGTTCTGGAGTGTGGACAGATATTATTGTAGTTGTTCAGAGATCTGTGACTAAGAAAAGTTCATAGAAATAGATTGAGGCACCTTGTCTTGAGTTTGGATTTGCTTTGTTTTTTTTTGTTGAGGTTGAAGATTTAATGCGGTTCCTTTCAGACAGGAAGGAAATTGAAACTGTCGTAATAGATCAGCGCTTTATAAAAATGTTTGTTTATCTTGTTATAATAACTTGCATTTTCATGAATTTTTCATCTCAGCAGTCTTACCTTAGTCTTCAAGGTGTTCTAACAATTTTAAAGTAGTGACTGAAAATAAGGAAGTAGGCTAACATCTGATAATCTGCCGCATCACTGCATGTCTCTGTTCCTGCTTGCTGTCAGCAGAAGAAATGCAGTGTGGAATATCACAAATGTTCTACATGAGAAACATTTTAGCTATTTTTACTGTGTTGTAGCAAATAATCAGTGTTAGTGTTGCAAAATGAATTATTTTTCTGAGGCTTAGGAAGAGATTCCTGACTATTGCTAGTTGTGGTTGCATTATTGCAGTGGGACTGCTCTTAATGGAGTCTTGATTTCCAAGGTAAGAATCAGGCTAAAGCCTGTTCTAGTCCCACTGCAATTGTGAGACATTCACTGTTTTTAAGAAAAGATTTTAGTCTTATTAAGGACAAAAAGACTTTGGTTGAAGCTGAATGTAGGTTCAAAACTGGATCAGTGTGGTGCGTCTTGTAGAAACAACCCAGAATATGCAGAGTTTATAGTGTGAAAGTCCTGGCATTGCACTCCCAACTAACTGCCAATAAGCACTTCCAGAGAACAATATCTCTCAACTGATTCAGATTTTTAATCTCAATTTACTGATTATATAAATTGAAATTGCAAGTTGCTGACATGGCAGCAGAGCTCACCTAAACTCAGTGGCTTTAGTGGAGAAGTTTAGCATAGCAGATAAATGGCATTTTCAACTATAACCCTTTAAAATGGAATTAAATATCCCTGGTGATCCTAAAGGAAGAGGTGATCAGTTTATTAATCTCTGGTAATAGGAGTTTGGAAAGCTTTCTAGGTCTGTAAAGCAGGGGAACATGTACCTTATGTAATAGGAGGGGGAGGGGGAAATCTGGTTTTCAGAGTGCAGCTTCAAATAATTGCTTAAACTGCTTTGCATGAGGTTTTAATCTTCTTTGTTATTATTAAACCTGTGAGGTTTTTCTGCAAGGAAACTAAGAGTTAGATCAAAATTGGGAAAAGGACATTCAATTTTACCTAAAAACAAACAAGCAAATCCCAAGCCCATGAAAAGTTTGCTTGAGCAGCAAAATAATGAATATTCATGTGTCAGCAGTCAGTGGGAAAAGAGGAACTTTCTTGGTCACTTGGGATGTGTTATTTGAAGACTTGTGATCAATTCCTCATGCAAAATGGCATTTACAGCCAGTAATGCTTATATTCCATCTTTATGTGTTCTTTCATCAGAAAGAGCATGTCTGGAAGCAGCTGTTTTGCTTTTCCATATAAATATATTTCAGGTTGCAAATTGCTAATTTCTGTAGAGAATTCGTGTGTTCTGTGATTTTATATCATAAAGCAGTGATTTCTAAGAAATCATTTTCTAAGCAAACATTGTAACTTCGTCTTCTTAATCTCCCTTCCCAACTCCAAAAGGTTGGAAAAAAAAAAAGGATACTTGACCTAATGATTAACATGTTCACCTAGTGATTAATATTTCAGAAAACTTGCCAGTGATTTATAAGAAATGGTTTTCCTGCTGGGTTGAAGTACCAGAGGTTTGGGGTTTTTTGTTTCCACAGCAGCATGTACTTCCCTGCACATTCTCTGCAGGGGAATGACTGTCCAGAGTCAATGGACAACAACTGCATGGGGATGACTTGTGCCCAAACTTTGGCCACTGGCAGAATATGACTTGCCTTTTTAAGTCAGATCTCATTTTCTGTTCAGGAAAGGATCTGGAGCTGTGATGAATATACATACTCTGCTTAGCACAGTTCTGTCAAACTCTGAGTAGCAGAAGTCTGCAGAGCAGGTATTTTGTGTACAGAGAGAGCAGGAAAGTACAAGGCTCCTGTTAGGATTCCTGCTTATTAGTCAGGAGAGGGGAAATTGGAAGGGGAGAGTAATCAGATTTCTGTGACAGAGTTTGCCATAAAATCTGATATACAGTAAGCTATTTTTGTTGGTAATGGTGAAGATCAGTGTGATAAATTTAGAGGACTTTTAAATGGTTTAGTCCTGCTTTAAAGAGAAATGTTCAAGTTGTGTCTGTGTGTTTTCCGCTTGTCTCATTTTTAAAGAACAAGCTCAGGTATAATGTTACTTGGGATTTCTCCAGTCAGGAGTTTGTTCCTCTGAAAATGGCTTGGACTCATTTTTAGCATTATCTCTCCATGGAGTCATTTTCCTGCTGTGGTCTGCAGGTCCCTCAGTGTGTTCTGCAGCCCCTGTGCTGGGGGAAGCAGGTTTGGCTGGGGCAGAAGTGGTTTGGGTGCTTGGTTTTTGGTTAAGGAATGAGTAAAGATGAGCTGATCATAACTGTGGCTGTTTAAGCCGAGTTAAGTTTAATAACAAGTTAGAAGGAAATAAACATTTTGAGGATCACATCTCTGGAAGAGTGGATAACACCTCTTAGCACAGGAAATTTGCCACATGCAGCACTATCTTTAAGTAGCATTTTTCAACACAACAGATAGTCTCATTTTATTAAAAGATTGAGTGGAGCTTTAACCTCGATTTTGGAGTCTCAGTAATTCTGCTTTACGTCCAAGAGCAGACTCAGGGCCTGGCACTCCGGTTGTTCTGAGCTTTTAGCTCAAGATCACACTGACCTTTAATAGGGATCCTTACAATATGTTGCAACTACAGTGTCAAACTTCAGCTCTATTTACCAAGCAGTAAAACCTGGAGTAATTTTTCTGTATGTGGAATGTGATACAGTTTTGTCTTTCCAGTTGGTTGCTGTTCAGAGTCTGGTTTTGCTTTCAGAGAACTTTGACTGTTTCTGTGAACTGCTTGGTTCCAACACAGGCACATTTGTTGCTCTGTATTCTGTGGTGAGCCATGGGAAGCCAGGCTGGCAGTGAAATATTGCTGCAGTTACCCTGAATAATTAGAAAAGAATGTGGGGCTATATTTAGTCCATATAAATCAGCTATAGGTAGCAATAAAGGAATAGAACTGATATGATAAAGGAAATATGAATCAATGATGTCTAGATTGGAACTCCTGCTCCCATCTGTTTGAAAAATGTGACTGTTAAGTTGCTGGCTGCAGGTGCCAGGGTCTGGGTGTGTGTGACAGTCACATGTCCCTGGTATTGAATTCACTGCCAGGTGTCAGCCCTTGCTTTCTTCATGGTCTTTATTGGTACTCCAGCAGTGACAAAATATAGTGGAAATAAATGAAATGTAAAGAAATTTAATTTTGTGTTGTGTTCAGAATTCTCTGTAAAGCTTTAAAATTATAGTGTTTATATTATTGACAGCTTTTGGAATAACATTTTATCTATTAATTTTAAGTTAGAAAACTTCAGTGGTTAAAAATAATTTCTGTTTTTATTCCTGAAAGTCTTGCTCAGAATACAGTTGTCAGTAAGCTCACCAGAAATTGAAAGTCGAACCAGTAACCTCTAAAACCTGCATTCTAGTCTAGTTTTAAAACCAGACATGAGTGTTACCATTTACTGTCTGTCTTTGCTGATGAGGTTATGAAAGGTGTCATTTTTTGAAACTCCAGCTTTGGGGCAGAGTTCCCTGCCCTCCCTCCCCTGCTGAGCTCTTCCAGCAGAAGACAGAGTACAACTGAACTTTCTGAGCCTCGTGCACAGAGCCAGCCCAGATTAGAATGCTGGAATTCTCTGTGCCCTGAAGAATTCTACTGCAGCAAGTATTTGAGTGTTCTGCTGGCTCTTGGGGAGTCTGTGGAGCTGCTGCTTCCACTTGGAAAGTCTCTAGTGCATCCCTGAAGGAAAGGGAGAGCATTTAAGAAATGAGGATGTCAGGGCCACATGTTAACGTGCAGTTCTGATTTTGAACCCCAAGTGCTATTTCTCATTTTAATTCTTGCTATTTTTACCTGTCTTTCCCTTTTTTTTCCCTTTCCTTGAAACAGTCTTTTAATTCTGTTGCTCTTTGATCTTCTCAGAACTACTTTTTGAAAGAAATCATGGGATAAATTGTCTATATATAGTTTAAAATATTCAGTACAATAACACCAAAACCTTATACTGCATCAGTAGTAAAGTTGGAAAATTATCTTCTAAAAGAGAACTGAGCTACACTAGGCATTACTGTGCAGCTTCATTTGCTTTTAACTTTCTGAGTAAGTAACTGCATGGTCAGTACTTCATCATGCATTTCTTTTGGATTTTCTCGTATGTGCTACATGGCATCAGGTTGTGGGACAGTTAGGCCTTTAATAAGAAAAAAGAGCATATTTTTAAAAATGCTTGAGCCATACATTTTCTTCCAGGCATCAAGAGTGATAGATTTGCTAACATTCTCTTTTAAAACAGATATTTGTGGCTCAATCCATACCTAGACTTAAAATATAGTTGTCTTCTGTAAATGGAGTACTATCAGCCCATTGTCACAGAGACGGCTGCTGAACTAAATAAACAGCAGCAAGATGAGCACTGAAAGTGGAAGTTTAGTCAGCTTTTTTTGTTGATATAGAGATTTTCTCCAAATGTCCCCAGTCATGGGAACTGTTGGGGAAGTTCTGATGATGCATTACAATTTATTGTCTTAACTTCAGGCTCAGGAAGATGCCGAGAAGCTGCGCTCGGTTGTGATGCCCATGGAGAAAGAGATTGCAGCCCTAAAGGAGAAGCTGGCAGAAGCTGAAGAAAAAATAAAAGCAGCATCAGAGGTGAGGGGGAGCTCTAACTGGATCCTGATTTATATCTTGCAGTGTGCTAGTTTGATGCAGACAAGTCAAATTTTATAAGAGAGAAAAAGGTGTATTGGGAAACTCTTCAAGCTCTTCTCATCTCCTGTAGCTCAAATGTCATGTTTGGCCTAAATACATTTTTGCATCTTTCTGTTTTGAGAGTTGCAGCTTGTGGGATCTGGGTTTGGAATAAATTGCACAGCTCCAGATCTACGAGTAATAGAAAAAGCTCTAGAAGAATATCTGCTCTGCACCTCTCCCAACCACCTGGCCTCTGGGTTATTGTCACACTTTGAGCCATGAAGTCAGACTTTCCCATTTGAAAGGCTTAAAGGGTAGCAGATGGAAGGTTTGGTGTCCTAGGGCAGGAAAGCTGTCCCCAGCATCAGTGGCAGTCACAACCCAAGGCTGTCCTGAGCCCTGGCTTGGCGTCAGTGTGTCCCGTGCTGTGCTGAGGAACATGAACAGCAGTTCTGTGCAGCCAGTTAGGAATTGCCTGAAGGCTTTGGCTTTCTCTGAGATAAAACCTCTGGTGATTTCTGACTCAGCAAACCATAAAACTGAATAGTGCCATAAAGAAATCTTTCAGTTTGTTCCTTTTTCCAAGACGGAATCCATTTCTCCAAGCATCACGTCTGACAGATGTTTATGTAACCCTGTCTTAAAAGGCTCTCACTGGAGATTCTGCAGGACACTCATTTCAGTTCTTTGTTAGCTTTGCTATTTAAAAAAAAATAAAAAAAATTCCAAATCTATTTCTTCAGTATTTCTTGATATAATTGCTTTTTGTTGATAGATTTTCCTTCCTTTTTGCAACAGTCTTTCATGAGTTGGAAAGTTTATTTTCTTGTCTGTCTCCAAGTTTTCTCTCTTCTTAGGCTTACTTCAAGCTTGCCTCATAATACTTTTTTTCCTGACTACTATGATTACTCTATTTTGAGCTAAGGAGTTCTTGGCTTATCAGCACTTACCAGCTATTTAGATCCTGGCCATCAGCACTGATTACTTCACAATGAAGTGATCACTGTCTGCTTTCTTGAGTTATTTCCCTTTTTACCATGTCTGTGCTCACTGCTGCTGTTATCCAGCTGCTATAACTGTGATGCACTGATAGGTTCAACTTAACAGAATTTTAATGAGTAACTCATTCACAAGTAAATACAAGCACTACTTGCACACTGGTAGTTGAATATTTGTGATTTCTGCAGATAAACCAGTCCTTCAGCACCTGTACATTACCTGAACAGGCAGCACCATAACTTCTAACAAGAAGGAAATGTCTGATAGTGTTCCCCCACTGAGCTGGCCATTTCCCTCTTTTTATTCAGGTTAAAGAGCTGAACCATTATTTAGAAGCTGAGAAGTCGTGTAGGACAGACTTGGAGATGTACGTGGCTGTTCTCAACACACAAAAATCAGTCCTGCAAGAAGATGCAGAGAAGTTGAGGAAGGAGCTGCATGAAGGTACCTACTTAGCAATAGTCCTTTGACTCTCTTCTTGAGCATGCAAAACCCAGTGGAGCTGTGAATCCTTTTATCATTTCTTAATTGAACTTGATTAGAAGAAATTGGGAGGAAGATGCAGTATTTTTAAATGGGAAAGGCCATAAAATATTTGCAGAAGAATTGAATGTGGAGTTCCCTTATGACAGAAAAACAACAGAACCATTCATTCTCTCAAGGTTTGTTGCATATCTGCTAAGTTTTTAAAGCATTGCAAGCTTCAGTCTTGCTGACGTGATTTTAGGTGTGTATTGTATTTATGCATAAATCTGAGCATTATTTCCATAATGTATAGACCTGGCTCCCTGAGGTGTGGCAGTGCTGAGTGCTGGAGGGAGTGTGGAAAATCCCTGTTGAGCACTACAGCCCAAGGTCACTGCAGAGGAGTGAAAACCAGAACTTGCTGCTGAAGTAAATAGGCGTATAGAAGACATCATCTTTTGAACCCAGCACTATAAAAAGCCCAAAACTGTTAGAATTCATGAATGAAGTTGAGGCATTAGTCTTCTCACTGGGAAGTCTTGAACTGTCAGTAATATATCCCTAATCACCAGCCAAGTTTGGAAATTAAGAAAATGGTATTTGAAATAAGACATTATTAACCTAAATAGTTGTTGAACAAACCCTGACTGTTCTTGATTTGACCAGCAATTACTTTTATTCCTGAAAATACTTCTCTTTGGAAAAGATACTTAAACACTTGTGGTTCAGAGGATTTTTTTCTCTGTTTGCATAGTTTGCCATCTCCTAGAGCAAGAGAGGCAGCAGCACAACCAGCTGAAGCACACATGGCAGAAAGCCAATGACCAGTTCCTGGAGTCCCAGCGGCTGCTGATGAGGGACATGCAGAGGATGGAAATTGTGCTCACCTCAGAGCAGCTCCGGCAGGTGGAAGAGCTGAAAAAAAAGGATCAGGTTACCTGCTGCTTTCATCTTTTTTGCTTTTATTTTTTTGTAACACTGTAGATTTACTGTAGTGTAACAGGTGTGGAAATCACATGTTGGAGGCAAGTGTGGTAATAGCTCAAAAAATGAGAACTGCCAGTTTTAACTGAAATCTCCCCTTTGAATGACAGCTGGCAATTAAAACAGACCCCTTTGGACAAGTATTTTAATATTGGTGTATATAGGAACTCTAATGTTGCCAATAGTTAGATGAAAAGGTAAGAGTATCCAGAAATTAATCTTGGAGGAAGAAATAATCATCTATGATGCAAAATGTCTGGGTTAAGGATGTCAGCAAGTTTCACTTCTTTCTAGGATTTTTCAGTCTTTCAGTACATATCCTAGGCATAAATTAAGACTTTAATTTTAAATTCTCTTATGCAATGGATTGTACATACTTATGACTTAGTGATCTATTATGGTTTTCACTTTTTTTTTAATGTTCATGCTTGTAATGGCTGTTAATGGGTCCTTTAGGGGTGTAGATGTGTTATGTATTTATATTCTATACAATAAGCCAGTGTACCAGCTAGTTTTGTTCCTTGCTAATCTTTATAATTAGAATTTTAAACTAGGTAATAATGCTTTTTGAATAAAATCATTCTAGAATGTGAGTCAGCCATTAAACTTGTAGAGTAAATTCTCAGTTAAGTCAGTTTGGGTGCCTTGTGAAATGACCACTGTATTTATTAACTAAAAGTGTATTTGTGTGACAACCACTGGGTTTTAACCAAAATAATCCTTTTCAGTGTCTTCTTTGTAGCTTAGTTTATCATGAAAGTTGATGTCATGACTACTGTGGCAAAATTGAATCCTATTTTCTGTGTATGCTCTATTGACCACTGATTTTTAGGAGGAAGATGAGCAGCAGAGGCTTAGCAAGAGAAAGGAAGAGAAACAAAAAGATTCAGATGATGAAACAAAGGCTTCATGTTCTCTGGCCCCTGAAGAAACCCTTACCCAGCTCTCTAATGAAGAGGTAAAACAATAGAATCTTTCACTTGCACTTGGGAATTCCTCAGGGTGTTCATTGCAAATACAAATGCAAAGTTACAGCCCTCTATTCTCTGTAGCTTCTAATCTTATTAGGCAATAACAGAATCCTCAGAGTTGCAGTTGAATCTATAAATCCTAATTAAGATTGGAAGACAATACTGCACCATCCTGAGAGGTGCCATTAAAAATGGTAATTTACATTTTGCATTCTGGAGGTTAACTGCTGGTAGAGTCTCCTGGGATTTCTAAGCATATTCTAACACACCTAAATGTTCAGGATTAAGGCAATTATATCTGAACATTCAGCAAGAGTGCTGTAGCTACTTTGCTAACCAAATTGTTGAATTCTGTACTTACCATTTTATTGGGTCCATTTTGGTTTTGTGAGTCAAATGAAGGAAAAATTAATAAAAACCCACCAAGTTTTTGTGCTACAGGAACTTATTTAACCTTCAAGAGACTTGAGATTTTCAAAGTGAGCCAGTGTTTTGCCTGGGCTTTTATAATTTTTGAAAGGGAAAGAAAAGTATATACTTTAATATATGTATTCTGAAGTAATTGTGTAACAGTTCAGAATGCAGAAAGATATTCAGAATCACGAGATCTAAATGTAGCTGAGATCTAGTTCTGCCCTTTAGCCTACAGTCACTTTCTGTTTCAAATACAAATTGTTTGTATCTTCCATATCCAGTTATGCAAATGAGGCACATTGGTGCAGAACAAAAATCTATCTTCTGATGTTTTTTTAATCTCAGTTCATAGCATATTCTTTAGCCCATCATTCACAACATTTATTTGATTCTAAGATTTATACATAATGGAAAATTTATATTTTGAGAAGGAACATAATTTTCAGAGTGGTTTGGATTTCTCTGTGTGTTTGGTTTTGTTATTTATAACCTTTTTAGCTGTTCAGAATATGTTTTATACGTAGTAATCACTCATATTATTCATCAGTTCTTACAGCTTATTATAATTTGTTGTAACTTCTAAGATCTTCTCTCTTGGGCAGTTTGCAATACAAACAGATGATTTGTTAATATTGTTTTGGTTATCACAGAACAGCTATAGCCTGAAAATGCAGTTTTATGTAAGTCTGTATTCTGTTGACTTTTTTATTATGAACTTTTATATATACATGCAAATATAAATATTACACCTAAAAATTATTAAAACAAGGCATTTACAACAGTCATAAAACAGTAGTACATAAGATATATATACCAATTATAGGTTACAAGCACTTATATAAAGTGCCAGCAGCCTGCTGGTCTCTGGACCTATTTCAGAAATGATAATTTTTCCCAAGAGGCTGATTCCAGTGTTACTTCCTTATGTGTCTAATGGCAAAGCAGAAGTGCATAATATTTTGGAAGGTATTTTGAAAGCAGTCATGTGCTTTTTAAATAAAGCATTACTGCTCTCTTTTCAGTGCTACAAAAAACAAAAATAGATCGAGAGGCTCCATGTGCCTGATACATATCACAGGACAATTTGTGTGGCTTTTGGTGTTGACATTCCCCAGGATACGTTTGTGTCTAAGCCCAGCCTTTTCCCTTTTCTTTTTATTTTATGGACAAATAATCTGGTGAAGAAAATATTTTGGTATTTTGTCAGACACTCAAAGCAGAAGAGAAAAAGAGAAGAGCAACATATACTTGTTGGTATAGAGTAGATTTTAAGTATGTTTTTCTCTGTTTATTTTTATGTTAATACAAAGTGGGGTTTTTTAATGAAAGACTTCTGAATTTCCTTTTGGAAGGGGAGTATCTGCCTTCTGTTGTGTAGATTGTGGTTGGAGAGGGCATGTTGCAAGTACATCTCTTCAGGTGAAGCACATCTTGCCTCAGATATTATAAGATGGAAGTATCTGTGTCTTTGCTTATCTGGCAGGAAAGTAGTCTTACAGAAGCACTCTGTTAACAGAACACTTATTTGTTTTTGAATTCTAGATGCTTCATTCCAGTTCTCTGTCCCTCTGTGACCTTAGAGAGCAGATGTTTTTGACAAAAAAGTTTAAACTTGCCTTTGCCATGTCTGATAATCAGTGTCCAGCATTCCTCCTGTACCACTAAAATGGAGTCAGCAATTTTTTTATTCCTTGATTTTCAATTCCAGGTGCATGTGAATAGCACCCATGGCTCAGTCCATTCCCTGGATGCAGACTTACTTCTTTCCTCTGGCGAATCCTTCAATAAACCAGACACGGATATGTTTAAAGATGGACTACGGAGAGCACAGTCAACAGACAGTCTGGGCACATCTGGATCCTTACAGTCCAAAGCTTTAGGATACAACAACAAAGCAAAATCTGCTGGGAACCTGGATGAGTCAGATTTTGGACCACTTGTTGGAGCAGATTCAGTGTCTGAGAACTTTGATACGGCTTCCCTTGGATCCCTGCAAATGCCGAGCGGGTTCATGTTGACCAAAGATCAGGAAAAAGCAATCAAAGCAATGACACCAGAGCAAGAAGAGACTGCTTCCCTGCTCTCCAGTGTCACCCAGGGCGTGGAAAGTGCTTATGTGTCCCCCAGCGGGTACCGCCTGGTCAGCGAGACAGAGTGGAACCTGCTGCAGAAGGAGGTGAGTCCAAAGCCCTGCCTCTTTTGCTCTGCCCAGAGCCAGCTGTGAAAGGAAGAGGTCACATCCTGGGCAGCTGCTCACTTTCCCCTCTTGGAATGATTCTGTAGGTAAAACACATCCAGTGTCAGGTGTATGAGCTGGCCCTGCTCGTGGCACAGGCAGCTTTACTAAGCACAAGATGATTTGGATTTTGAGGAGGGTCTGGCAGAGGTGGCTCTTGAATTCAGTATTGTCTGAGAGGCTTAAAAGAGGTGAGAGAACTTAAAAGAACAGGAGCAAATGAGAAGTTGAGGAAAGGGCATTATAGTGGAGCTGGGGATGAGTAGGAGAGGGCAGAGAGGAGCAGCAGAGCTGGGGATGCTGCTCTGTGTGCCAGGGCTGTGCATGGGGGCACTTTGGGAATGAGCAGCCAAACTATGCCCAATGCACAAAGTACCACAGAGAGGCTCCAGGAAGCTGTTGGGGACTTGCATCATCAGAAACTCATTCCTGAGAGCAGCAAGCAGCAGACTAGACTAAGCCCTGGGCCAGTTGCACTGTGGATGACCAAGGAAATTGTTGCTTCTGGGTGTTCTGCCCGTCAGTTTTTCAGCAGCTTTATACGATGCCAGTTCAAAGCTTGCATTTGGTTTCTTGCTGAAAAGGGGTTTCCTGTGGTTTCTCTTTCAGAGGAAGAGAGGCTGAGGAGCAGCACTGCAGGGGGAAGAAAAAGTGGGGGGAGATAATAATCCGTCCTGGGTGAAAAGGGAGACAAGATGGGAGTAAAAAAAAGACCATAAGAATCTAGTGAAGGAGAAAAGGTCAAATGAAAGACAGATGAAATGAAGAACTACTGGGGTTTTTTTATTTTTTTTCCCCTCAATTTGTTGAAATTCAGCTTAGTGCAAATCATTGCTTAGGAGTTCTGTCCAAACCTGTTGTGAAGTTGCTTCTTTGTTGTTGCTGTTGTTTTCCTACTGATTTGCCATATGTGGAGAAATTACAACATCCTGAGCCCAGAGCTGAGTTAAATCCTTACTCTTGAGTGTTTCCTTGCTCTGCTGACTTTTTGATGACACTTTACTTCATCCCTGTCTCAGAATCCAGAACAGAAATGCAGCTTCCCACATGTTCTGAAGGCAGGAGCACACACTGGGTTGTGAATGCCTCTTGCTGTGGGTTGGACATGAGCAGCAAATACAAATACAGATTCAGCTCAACCTTGACCTGCAGCTGGAACTTTGATAAAACTTTCATTTGTCCCCTTGGCCAAAACCATTGCAGTTCTAGAATGACAGCAGGTTTACTCTTGGTTTCGCTGTTGCCCATCCCAGCACTGTTATTTTCTTCTCTGCTGTTTGTCAAAAGAACACAGTGGTGACTTGATGAACTCTTTGTATCTTTTGTGCTAATGGTGGGACCCATGGCAGGAAAAGCTGATATCCCACAGCTGATTGGAGTTACCCTTCACTTTTAGAGCAACTCAATCCTGCCATTACATGATTCTGCCACTGTCTTGTGTCTGCAATGTTTTGTGGCCATACAACACACCTGAGTGTGTGCAGCATTCCTGCTTTCCCTGGAGACTTCCCTGGGCTCATGGCAGGTGCTGACTCTGTGTTCTGCAGGTGCAGAATGCAGGGAACAAGCTGGGCAGGCGCTGTGACATGTGCTCCAATTATGAGAAGCAGTTGCAAGGTATCCAGATCCAGGAGGCTGAGACCAGAGACCAGGTAGGATTTCTCTCATTGCTTTAACCAGGCTTTTGCAGCTTTTTGGACTACTAAGGGTTGCAGCAAAAAATCATCTGCTGTTTTATTTATTGATTTTAATTGAGTGATATCAATATACTGGATAACTTGTCATGTTATTGACATAACTTGATTTGTTATTCACTTGTGGTCATGAGCACCAACATGTACATATTTCTTAGGGATTCACCTTGGAGAATCCCTTTATTTGATGCTGTAAGACCATGCAGTAAAGGCACTGTTCTATAAAAAGTATGCCCATGCTGAAGTCAATATCTTTAATAATTTATATTTTAAAATGCTTGTCATGCATTAAATTCTATTATCTTTGATACTGTAAGATCTGTTAACAGAAAAGGACCTCATCCTAGCAGCATAAAATGACTTTCAAGTCTTGGAGGACATTTGTTTCCTGCCATCTACCAAAGAATAATTTTCAGATGGGTGTGGAAGGCATGAGTCACATTCTGCTCTGAAATAAGTGATTGAAGTCATTACATGGCCATGGTCCAGTGCAGTTTGATGTCCCGTGTTTCCTTAGAGGGATAATCTGTGCTGGAGGCTGTTTCAACAGCAAAGGAACTTCTGGGTTGCACAGGATTTTGGAGGGATTTTTGGGTTGTGGTTTTAGGAGTGAAGGGGTTCAGGAAATAAATGCTCCCCAAGACAATGAAAAATGAATTAATTTTGTTGTGACAACACAGGTGAAAAAGCTGCAGGTGATGCTGAGGCAGGCTAACGATCAGCTGGAAAAGGCAATGAAAGATAAACAGGAATTGGAGGATTACATGAAACAAAGTGCTGAAGACTCCTCTAATCAGGTACAAGGATTTGGTAACTGAGATCCAGGAATGATGAAATTGATTTCTTTGAAAGGATGTGTGTAACAAGAACTTGTGTTTTGTTAGCTATGGATGGGCTACTGGCTGTAAAGGCAACACAAATGAGAATTTCTAGGGTTAGTTACGCTCCACCTGAGTCTGCCACAGTTTCTAGATAAATCTATTGTGTCCCTAATATTGTGTTATCCAATTTTGGCCTTAAAATATCATCTCTAAATGTGAAATCCATTACAGAGTGGCAGTAGGAGTTTGAGTAGTGTTTGAATTTTGGAGTGAGCTGTGTCTGAAATGACCTGAACATGCAAATGGAGCCCTGTGCTCTGGGCACAGCCTTGTTGCTAGAAGAGTGGTCCTGTTCCACCACCTGCTCCTATCAGAAGAATGCAGTAATGAGGAGCTGAGCAGGCATTAGCAGGGCCAAAATAGGCACTGAACTCCTTTAAAATAATAGCCCACTGGAAAGATTTTTCAGTCTGAGATGTGTACCTAATTCTTCTGGAACAATGAAGCCAAATATAATGGGTGGTAGTCATAGTTAAAAATAAAAAGAAGGAAAAAACTCATCATCTTTGGCCTATTAAAGCTTACAATAGTAGGTACATGCTGTGTACAATACACTGAATTTACTTCACTCAGGCTGGAACTTTTTCTCTTCCATCCCACCCAGTATATTTTCTTACTAGAGAAACAGTCCGTAGACAAAGTCCAGCTTAGACAACAGGAACATGTTTATATGTTCTTCTGACTGTACCAGGCTGCTGTTAATTAAGTAATGATTAATCTTACATGTGGTGTTGTGGGATGATTTGCAAAGTATTTGAAGGTGAGTGCTTTCAGAGAAAGGCACAAAAATTCAAAAAATGATGAAAATTTAAATAAAAGCTCTTTGGTTTCCCTTCAGTGTCTCTGAAGTGGATTACATGTAAATTTCACTAGAATTAACTGTTGATTCAGAGTTCAGTAAATAGAATATAAAAATATTGTTGGTGCAGAAACACAGCATCTGTCCTTACTGCCTGGAGCTGCTTTCCTGCTTCACTGAGTGAAGAATTAACATAAACCTCAGTGCTTTAGTTTGAAGTTTCAAAGTATCTATCAGTAATGATAACAGGCAAGAGCACTTATTTCTTTTTCAGAATCTGTTCCATGCTGTATTTCTTACGTGTCTGTCTGTGTTTTCTTTCTTTAAGATCTCCTTGCTCATGGCCAAGTGTCAGAAGTCAGAGAATTTCCTCAGTGAGCTGCAGCAGGCATTTCTGCAAGCCAAGAGAAGTGTCCAGGAGCAAATGGTAAGGCAGGTTAATTCCAGAGATCCATGACCATCCCTGTTTTTCTGGCCCTGGTTGCTGAGATAGTGTTAGTAAAGATCCCTGCCAGCTCCTGAAAGCACCTGTGATTTCTCTCTCTCCTTCCCCTCCATGAGCACAACCAGCTAATGGATAAACACAAGAGGAAAGTGACAGACTGAACAAAGCTGTACTTATCACTTGCTTCCTCTTCTCTGCCTGGACACTTAAAAGTTGACCTTGCCTTTATTTCTGGTGCATAGGCAGGCAAGAAGGAACTGGTTGTGTTGATCCACAGCATCATTTTGCTTCCCTTCTTTACAAAGGATATCAATTCACCAGACTTCTGAAAGCAGTGGCAATAAATGGGACAGAAGAGATCTGAGCGTGACCCTAAGTGTGAATTTGTGCTTTTCTTTGCATTGTAGGCTGTCCTGACACAGTCAAGGGAGCAGGTTTCAGAAGAGTTGGTGAGACTGCAAAAAGATAATGAAAGTCTTCAAGGAAAACACAGCTTGCATGTGTCCTTACAGCAGGCTGAAGATTTCATTCTACCAGAAGCAGCAGAGGTAAAACATTTTTAAATCATTAACACCAGCAGTACTTGTGACTTGATCTCACTGGCATATTATTCTTTATCAAAAAGCTGACTCAAATAGCACAAAGAACAGTAATTGGGATTTTAACCCTGTAAGTCTGTGATGGACAAAGCCAGTGGTGTGATCCCCCTGTGCCATGGCTGCTTCAGCCACCAGGGGCCTGACAGCTGCTCTGTGGTCAGGGGAGTGTGGGTTTGGCCCAGTTCAGCCAGTTCAAGCTGCAATTTCCAACTGGGCACACAAGAGTTCAGTCAGCAGGGCCCCACTGTATTGATTCAGTAATTCAAGTGAAGTCAGTCACTTCTGTCCAGTTAAGATCAATGATAATCCAAAGCCTTGAATAGTGATAAGCCTTATCATCCCTTTCATGTCCACTCCCTTCCTTTAAGCCTAAAAGATTTGGTGAGGCTGAAGGGCAGGGGGAGCATCATAAACCCATGGGGATGTGAATCTTGCCATGTTTTCATTTCCTCTGGCCAAGCAGACTGTGACTGTAATTCTGTGCTGGAAACAGGGTCTGGGATGTTGGGACAGCTTTGTCCCTGGGCAGATACCCCAGTGCTGGGGTGTGGGACAGCAAAATGCTCATCTCTGCTAATCCTTGATCCAGGAACTCCGTGAGCTGATCCTCAAGTACCGGGAAGACATCATCAGTGTGAGGACAGCAGCAGATCACCTCGAGGAGAAGCTGAAGGCTGAGATCCTGTTCTTGAAAGAGCAGATCCAAGCTGAACAATATTTGAAAGAAAATATAGAAGAAACTCTACAGCTGGAAATAGAGAATTGCAAAGAGGAAATAGGTGAGAAGGGTTAAACAGTCTCAAAATAGGAATATAAGAAATGATTAAGATACACAAAGGCTTGATTTTGTACCTGAATTCTAAAAACTATCCACTTTTGAAAGCAGAGACACCAAAGCTGTGCAGCTGAAAACAAAAGTAGAATTATTTGTTTGCTTTTGAGGTACTTTAGATGTAACACAAGCTTAATTCTCCTTTAAATATTAACAGAAGTAAACAGGGTATGAACAATTTCCTGTGTTTCTTGCATTTAAGTTTTAATATTCTTGTTTTTCAGCTTCCATTTCCAGTTTAAAAGCTGAACTAGAAAGAATAAAAGTGGAAAAGGAGCAGGTAAGAAGCCCTTTCACTGTGGGCTTTCTGGGTTTGGTCGTGTGGTTTTTTTAATAAAAGTTATTTTTTCTCTTTCCTGTATTGATGCCAGTGTAGGAGTAGAACACATTCATAGTTCTGTTCCTTAAAAAGATCTGTTTTATTAATATGTAGCCTAAATATTGGATTAACTAATTCCTAATTAATACTAGACTACCTAAGACGGACCTAAATGTCAGGTTTGGACATTTCTCTCCAGCTCCAAAAGTAAATAAATGGAGAGAAAGTGATGTTTTCTCTGTCCCTAGAAGTGATTGTTTTCTGAGTCCCAGGAAGATACTTAGACTTCCTTATGGAGGGACTGTGAGAAATGGAAATATTAGGAAGTTAATTTTTTTTAATACTATTATTTTACAGTTGGAAAGTTCTTCACAGGAAAACCTGCAGCAGCTGGAGAGTCTGCAGGAGGCAAAGAACACTCTAGAAGAACAGCTGAAGAAGGAGACTGCAGCAAAGGTAGCTATGATGTCTGGATGTGAAGTTTATCTGCATCTTTTGTGATGAGCAGCTGTGTCAGAGAATGTGGCACTACCTAAGAATGAATAAAAGAAGCTTTTCTATATTGGTAAGAAGGTTGGCAGGGCAATAATGTCCTCTGGATGTGGTTTAAATCCTCACCCCTGTTTTCACTGGGATTTGTAAGGTGATGGGTCTGAATTGCTGCTGGCCTGAACATCCCTGGGTTGCCCTCCCAGGTAAGGCTCTGTAACTCCTGTTGTGGAGTGTCCTGATAACCAAGCCCTGGATTGAATGCTTTGATGCTTTTGAAGAAATGTTTTTTTTGTGGTTGCTGTAGGAAAGGGATCTACTTCAGCACTCAGGTGAATTAACTGTGATCTGAGCACTCACTCTCCGCCCTCTCTTGTTGTGGTTTTGGTTTTTTATGTCACTTCCCCCAGAATTTCTCTGACTAAAGCTCAGCACAGCGAGACAGTTACACTGCCAGCAGCAAATTACTGCCCTCACCATGAACTTACTTCACTAAAACTCAGGACTCTGCCTTTGTATTTGAGATCCCTGCTCATGGTGCTTTTAAAGGACTTTGGGCTTTTTCATGCTTTAACCAATCTACTGGCACCTGTTGATGGGTATCAGCCCCTGATTTTGCACTTTGGAAAACTGAGGTGTGGAAAGACTGGTTTAGTTTGTTACCAAGGCCCTGTGAGTACTGTGCTGCTTTCCTCTGGTATCATGCTTTAATCAGCTTATACAAGCTGCTGATTTTTATTCAGTTCAAGCATATAAAACCTTTTCCTCCTCAGGCCAACCTTGAGCAGCTGGTGTTTGAAGAGAAGAACAAAGCTCAGCGGTTGCAGACTGAATTAGATGTCAGTGAGCAAGTGCAGAGAGACTTTGTAAAGCTTTCTCAGACACTTCAGGTAAGAGAGTCCAATCAATGTGTAAGGGCTACTTTAGTTTCATTATTTCTCCAGAGCTGTGTAAAATAAGAAATAGCAGTTGTAAATTTTCTTATACTGGTATTTATGATCTACTTTAGAATTTATTAGTGTAATAAACTGGTCAGCTATTCCTACTTTATTAATATTATTGTAGCTATTGTGATTCTATTCTGATTACTTGGTTCCAGCCAATTTTCAGTTACTGTACAGAGCCAAAGATGATGGCTCTTCCAAACCTATGTTTTCCCTTGTCCATCTCCTGATGCTTCCAATGTGATATTTTCATAGCAAATCATTCAGATGCAAATATTTGAGGACAAAGTAAGGAACTGGTACTGCTTGATCTGAATATGTGAAATGGTTCTTTGAGTTCCAGTTACTGCTTTCTGTTTATATATTCTGAAAGTCTGGTCCTTGCTATTGTCTCTGTTGTTATCCTTGTATTTCCTCCACCAAGTGGGGCCTGTGGTTGATGTGAGCTGCCAAGAGGTGGCTGAGGGTAGGAGTTTTGTCAGGGGTCCCTGAGGCTGATCCTGATTTGTCAGGCTGTTCTCTGCTGTGTGGCAGCTGCAGTTTGTGTGTTCAGAGAGACTCTCAGTGTCTTGGGGGAACCAGGGTGGGCTGGGCTCACCTTCAGGGTCTGAATTTCCAGAGTTTGCACCCCCTTTATGTTCCAGCTTTGCTCACAGAGGAGGTGCTGAATTTCTGTCCCATCTCCTTGGAGCCCAGGCCCTCAGTGACATCCAGCAGAATTCAAGCTACACATTTTCTGAGTCAGGCATTAAGGTTTACTTGGAAAATTAACACCAGAATGTGAAAGATTTGTTTACTAGACACAGTTTAGCTGGATGGACAGTAGAGATCTGTCCTCTCTGTGTCTGGAGGAGTTGGTAGGACAAAGGAGACTACTGAGTTGTCCTGCCTAGAGAAGTTGCTTCTTGTTTTTCCTCATCCTCGCTTTTTGTTATGTAAAATCCTGCAGGCACTGGTTTATGCAGTTCTTAGAGCAAACAGCCACCACTTTGAAGATGTGTGGTGGACTCTTCCACATCTTGCAGGTAGTTTAGTAAACCTTCAGTATGAGCTCAGTAAGAACTGTAGCTCTGTGTTTTGTGTTTTCTCTCTGCCCTAAGCAGTTACTGCACATCAGTTTGTGCTCCAGTTTAAGCAATGGTTTGTGCCATGTGCACTGTAGAGTGTGAGATGACCATCAGAGGAGGATTGTGGTTTCTTGGCAGGGTTATTCCCTTCCCTGGCCTTGCCAGTGAGAGCCTGGGCAGCTACTCCTTGTGTGAGGGGTCCAGTAGCCAAATTAGTTATCAGCAATTCAGAAGAAGACTTCTTCTTTTAACAGAAGAACTGTTTAAAAACAGTTAAATGCTAGTTAGGGATTTATACCTGAAAGCCCAGATCCTATTGCTAAGAATGTGGAAGCTTGAGTGTGAGAGAGAAATAATTTGTGCTCTCTTTGCATTGATTTCACCACAGTTCTGCTGGGCCCTTTTTCAGCAGATAAGAAATAGCTTAAACTGGGTATCAGCAAAGGAAGGAGTGAACTTGGAAATGGGATGTTTGCTCCAAGAGCATTTTGGCTGTGATCTCCAGAGGTTCCAAGGCATGTGTTGGGCTGCTCCTTTACGCTCTTTCTGGGAAGGTTTGCTTTGCACATCTCCAGCTTTCCAGTACAGTGTTGGTGACTGGACATGAGACAAAACACAGAGTGCTGGTGATGGCTGAAGCCCCCCAGAAATTTGAGCTTTATTGTAAAACCACAACTGCCTCGTGCCTTCCTTCCTCCAGTTCTTGGGTCCAAATTAAGCTTGTGCTCCTTCACACCTTGCATTTCTTCAGGCCGTGGTGATGTTGGATCCCCTTGGGCCTGGGGCTGAGCTCTTCCCCCTTTGCTGACTGCGGTGCCTGTGTTGGTTCCCTGCAGGTGCAGCTGGAGAGGATCCGGCAGGCAGATTCCCTGGAGAGAATCCGTGCAATCCTGAACGACACAAAACTGACGGACATTAATCAGCTCCCTGAAACATGACACCCTGATGGGCTCCGAGGCTGCGTCTGGGGTTTTTAACTCATCTTTATAGCAACATTAATTATTATTTAACTCTAACCGAGAGAGCAGAAGACAACAGAGGGCAGCGATGACTAAAGTTTTGTTTCTAGAGGGGAAAAAGGTTTCGTACTGGGCAGGAAGAGATCACAAGGGTGACTTGTAGTGTAGGAAGGAGAACTTTCTAATGGAAACACTAATGAGTGCAGTGTTTCGTGTTCCACTGAGTGGGATCAGTCCTTACATTCTGAAAAACTTCCCTCTTTCAGCCGACTTCATAACCTAATATAGAGTTTTGGAACATATACCCCTGTCTTTCCCTCTGTCCTTTCCCCCACTACTGTGATCAAAGTAGCTGCTGGAAACTGTATTGTCCCTCCAAAACGTTGAAGAGCAGAGTGGTTGAAGTTTTTCTGTTTGAATAGTCAGTAACAGTATTCAGCTAGCAGAGAGAATGAGGTGTAGAGTATGCTGTATGAATATTTTATATTAAAATATGACTTTATTAGCAGGACACTGGATATTGATCTTATTTCATAACTCAGTACTTTTTTTTTTAAAACCATTGGCTCTGTGAAGAATCTGAATGCTGCTGAAATGTGGATATGAGTGAGCTGTGTATCTCCTGAACAGGTAAATGCTAGTCCAAAAAAAAAAGAACACTGTACTGAGAATTTAATTCCTTGCCATTTTTCTGTTGAATTCAGATACTGAAAGCACAAGAAATGCACTGTTTTGTAATCTCTTTTCACAAATGTAATTTAGAATATGGAGCTACAACCAGTTGTATCTCATCTCCTAAAGCTGAGCAGTGCCTGAAATCCCTTCTCTGTGGAAAAAAACCCCAAAAAAACCACCAAAAAACCCAAACAAACAAAAAACCCAAGCAGAAAAAAGCTGGTAAAAGTTGTGTGCACATCTGAACATTGGCCTGAGGTGATGCAGGTGTGCTCTGCTCTGGGGGTAGCACCAGGTGTGAAGGCAGGAGCTCTGGGGAAGGTGAGGGCAGGTGCTGAATGAAGCTGTTCCTGACCCCTCTGCTGGGTCAGCCTCGAGTCAGCACACAGGGAATCACTCCCAGCCCCTCCTGGTCAGGGCACAGACGTGCAGGAGCTGCAGGATTGTGCTGCTGCAGCTTGGAGGGAGCAGTGCAGCTCTTTGGTGTCCTGGAGCTCAGAGGTGGCTCCTCTGCTGTGCCCTGGGTCTGCTCCCACACAGTTAAATTACACTGAGTAATGTGGCAGCAGAGGCAGGAATTTCTTGTGATCACTCAGTTGCCAGGTTTGGGTTTCTTGTTCTATAAATGTCCAGAGGTAACATGAGCATTCCTCCTCCTCCTGCTGTGCTGCTGGAGTTCTGTGCACACAGCTGGACAGATTCCTGAACTGTTGCAGTTGTTGATCCTGGTGGCACAAACCCAATCCTTGAACTTTACAACTCAGTTAAAAGGAGGCTGAAGAAGCAGATTCCACTGTCCTAAACTTCTAAACTTGTCCTAAACTGGAGTTTTCCCTCCATTCCTTGCTGTTTTTCCTTCACATACTTGGCCTGAGATCTGATGATTTTCTTCATCACCTTCAAAAGTGACAGAAAATGCTCCAAACTGCAATGCACATGACTATGTATTTTAAGTGCTTAGATCCTATTTTTAGCAGTGTATATCCTGCTACTGCATAAAGTCAGAACCGGTGGTTTTGAAGAGGAATGCCTTAAAAACAGCCAAAAAAGCATCATACAAGCTCAATTCCCTGCCACTCATTACAAGAGTTAAAGCATTTTATTCACCCTGGCAATTAATTCCCTTCATAATCCTGACACCCCAAATTAATTTTTCCCACCTTAGTAATGACTAACAGGTGGCAGAGCTGTCATGTCTAGAGATGACACTTACTTTCACATAAAGTAAGTGAAGTTGAAGTGTGGCATGAGTCTTATTTGGCTATTACCAGATTAGGGATTTTTTACCCTTTCTCATTATTTGCTGAACTGTGGGTGACAGCAGCCAGGTCCTGATGCATAAATCCAGGACCAGATGTTTTCATTCCGTTTTCCAGTGGTTGGGTAGACTTTGGAGACAAAACTACAGGCCTTTAGTAGGAGCTGCAGAACAGAAAGGAAAGCTTTTTATTCTGTTCCCACCCTCCCTTGCCAAAAACTAATGTGTAACTGGTTATGGGTTAGTTCCTGTAACTGGTGCCTACTTCACCTGTGCAGGAGGTGTAAGGAAGCCTCTTCTATGGCAAAACTACACCACATCCTGTACCCTCTTCAGCAAGCTGAGCACTTGAGGAACTGCACCTTGAAGTCTTTCACTGTAAAATATTTTTTGGTTGTGTTTCTGGATGGTCCCAGTGCGAGTGAGCAGGGGAAGGGGCTGTTCTTGGCCTTGCAGCATCCCCTCCTGGTGCCTGTGTCTGGCCTGTTCTCAGCAGCCCTGTCTGCTCTGAACACCCCTGGCTGTGCTGGCTCGGAGTGCTGCAGGAGCTCCAGCTCTGGGTGGCTTTTCCTTGGTGTGTTTTTATGGCTCATGGGCACAGCTTTCCCCAGGTGTGCTGGTGTCAGGGTGAGGTCATGGCCGTGGCCTGGCAGGAAGGGGGCAAGTGGGGCAAGTGTTTTGGGCTCCTTGGTAGCCCTGGGGCCAGTGAAGCTGTTTCTGCAGGCCTAGGGGGGTGTGCACTGTGTGCTCTTGCTCGTTTGTGAACCAGGCACTGCACAAGTCCCTGGAGGAACTTTGCTGTGGAGATGGGCAGGCAGTTCTTGCATGGTTGTTTTTCCTCCTCACCGCCCTGTTCCATCAGGCACCCGAACACCTGTGCTCCTGTCAGTACCAGCTGTGACTGTTTTAGTGTTGGAATACGAGTCACCTTTTTTCACCAACTGCTGTAATGTCAGATTTTTAAACAGTTCTGTTTGAAATTGGAACCCTGGCTGTTAACAGAAGTGGTGGGAGATGTGCTCCCTGCAAACTGCTGTCCCTCCTGGGGAAGGACAGCAAAGCTTCAGCAGCAGCAGCTGAGCTTCTGCTGAACTCAGACTTAAAGGGGCCTTTAAAAGCAAAACAAGACAGTGTGTGCCAAATTTGCAGAGCAAATTTAAGAGACTGTAAATGTAGGAAAAGCTCTTGGTGTAGATACTCACTGGATGATGGATTCTGGTGTTACTGCTCATGAACATAAGAAAACAAATGCTCTTCCTTCCAGTTCTGGGTGTTGTGGAGCATGGCTGGGGCCGGCGTGGGTTCTCCTGTCTCAGGCAGTGTCACCTGCTCAGCTGTGACCCGGGCTGAGCTGTTGGTGGAGGCTGTAGCAGGGCCCAGATGGAGTTCTGTCTGCATTCCTGTACCTGTATAGTCTTAACCTGTACAAAGTGTTCTTGCAGCATGTCTGGTACCCGGTCCCTCCCCAGCACTGCCCCGCCCGCCCTGCTGTGCCACGTTTTAGCAGTGCAGTAACTCCTGTCCCCCCTGAGCTTCACCACGGCGCCTTTTCCAAGGGCAGGGGGGAGGGACAACAATTCCTTCTTGTCCACTAGAGTCTGGCTACAGCAGAGACTGAATTGGCCTTGTCATGGCAAGAAGGACTCCAGAGCCATCTTTTGCAAAAGGCAAACAGTGTTTGGAAGTCAATACTGCATTCCAGTGAGCCAAGCCATTGGTGTCCTGTGCAATCGTGGGTGTAGAATTCTGCTGTCTCCAGGATTCCAGTGTAACCATTTGTTAACTGTACTGAAGGTGTGTCCTTTATGGAGAAAGTGTTCCAAATTAAAAAAAGCTGCTGAAGTGTGTGTGTGCATGGCTCTGGTCTTTCTCCTCTGCCTCCCACCAGATTCCCCCTGGGATGGAGCAAGGGTAGGAGCTTATCCCAGGATAATCCCCCACCCCTGAGGTAGCTGCATTACCCTCTAACACCCTGAATGTAAAACACCTGCAGCACATCCCCTTCCCATGAGAAAAACAAAAACCACAGCAGGTGAGGAGTCATATCAAAAGTATTTTATTTCACAATTCTTTACAAAATAATAAGTAAAAGGTGTATTGTTCAACATACAAATGGTAAATATACAAGGGGGATTACCAGGGACAGGTAAAGCTCATCCAGCCTTGGTGCAGGGCCCTCTCCAGGGACACATCAGAAGTTCACATGGCTCCTGATGTCATTGATCTGTTTCACCATCTCCCGGATGTGTTCTCCCCTTCAGGAAAAAATAACCCAAGTCAAAATGCTGCAGGTCCCATCTGCACAGAGCTAAGCAGGAAGGGAAACACTTCAGGTGGTAGAAGCAGGGACTGGGAGCAGTGCCTGTCATCCCAGGCTGGATTACAGCCCTGGGATCCTGGGGCAAAAAGCCTTTCCATTCATCTGCTTCAGGTGCTGCTCAGGAGCTGCACGTCCTGTGCTTCAGCCCCTCTCCCCCAGCCCCTCCTGCAGCACGGCCTAAGTGACACTGGGACACCTGAAGTCAGGTTCTTCAGGAGGAGCCCAGCTTGCACTTACTCCTCTCTCAGGACAGCCTGGATGCACTTGCTTTGGTAGGCACTGAGGCTGATGCTGGGCTTGCGGGGGCTTCGCCCCTTCTCCATCTGTTTCTGTTGGTATTCCTTTTTCATTTTCACCTGGGGGTTGAGGAGAAAAGAGAAGGTCCCAGTCAGTGCTGGTCCTGCCTGTCACAGTGGAAGCTTGTTAATTACAGACTGCTGTGATGTACTGCAATTAATTGGTTCTTTCTGGGTTCAAATCTGTCTGCTTTTGCATTTCCCACAAAGAGAAGAAATGTCCCTGTCAGGTTGAGGAAAGGGGAGATCTCTGAAGGCTTACAGTGTGTGCAAAGGTTCCGTCTGTATTTCCAGCAAGGGCCCAAAGCCCCTTTAGTACACTGCTGCTAATTAACACAAGTACAGCATCACTTCATGGCAGGACTCGTCTGTGAGCACTGAGGAGCTGTCAGTAACCTCTCAGCCCAGTCATTCCTCCTCTCACCTGTCTGATAGCATTGCTCAGGTGCTGCAGCTGGTCATGGATTGTCTGCAGTTCCTTCTTCATATCTTTTTCAGTGTCAGATAGAACAGGAAGCTGAGAGTGGAAACTCCGAAGGACTTTCTTCATCCTTGGAAAGCAAGAAACGTCTCTGATTTAACTTCCCTGCTACCCAGCTCTGCTCAAACACCTTCAGCCTGGCTTTGGCCATGCTTCCCAAGTCTCAGGGGCTTCACCTTCCCCTTCCAACTCGTCTCAGGTGGCATTTCTGAGCCTGGGGCTGGCTCAGGCTGGGCCTACAGACAAATCACACCAAGCCCCAGCACAGGAAATTTCAGCAGCCCCGTCTTGTAACAACCCAGTGCAGCAGCTCCTGCCCAATCTGTTCTACCACACCTGCAAACTCTGTTCAGCATCAGGTGGTGTGAGGTGAAACAGAGCCCTGTGTGCACTCACCTGTTCATGATGTCTTCTTGCTTCTCTTTGGCTTCCTCGTACTTGTCAGCCAAGCGCTCGGCCATTTCCCGCAAACTTTTCCTTAAGGCAAGGGAGAAAGGGATCCTTACTTCAGGCTGACACACCGGACAAGCCAGGGTGTGGAAACAGGACAAGGAAGCTGAAGAAGCCATCTGGAGGAGGGAGAAAACCTACAGGCTTCATTGTGGCTGGGAATGCCTTCACTTGTCAGCTGTTTGACACAGGGCCTTGTCCAAACCACCACCACAGGTGCCTCATTCCTGAGGTTTGAATTGATAAAGGCTCTACTCACCTCTCCTCTCGACAGTAATTCAGATCTTCCAGTTGTTTCTTTTTCTGTCCCCACAGCAGCTTCACTCTGAAGTAAACACATACAAAAAAATATTAAAAATCAAACCATTTGCAACCAGGTCAATCAGGATTTACACCACACAGAAAATGTTGGGAGTGGGAAGAACTAAAGACACTGAAAAAGGGGCAGTGGTGAGAAAAAACTCCCATTTTGTCCTAACTGTATAGTGTAAATAACTGACTATGATTTGAAGTAGCAGAGACTTAAGGCAATTTTCCTTTGTCAAGATTAGTGCTGAGGTCAGATTTCCTGCCACCCACAGGCCCAGACAGGCACACAACACCATGAGGAAAGTATTTAATGTGTGTGTACCATTTTCTTTGTTCCCCTATGAGCCACTACAGACATCAACTATTAAATTCACCCCTGCTTTTTCTGATAACTCAGTTTTAAGTTCTGGTATTCATCATGAGTTTTACATTTAGTAAAATGTAAAACTCATTCACCAGGATTAGACCCACAGAGGAGGATGGGTGCTCAGGACTTAGTGCTGCTGTGTCACAGGGACACTGGCCAGTGCATTTTTATGAAGAGTTTTGCATTACCTTTGCTGAATTTCCTCTTTTGCCAGGTCCTGTTTCAGTATATATTCCTCTCTGAACACCTGGGTGGCTCTGCTGAGGAGCTGAAGGCATTCTTCAGGGGGAGGAGCAGCATCTTTATCTGCAGATCTTAAGATTGAGATTTTTGCAATCTTACTAACATGTTGAAAGTGAGGGATTACAATGAAATCCGTTTGCTAGATATTTTTCTTAGATGAGGAAATCCCAAGGCAGCTTAAGATACTCCAAACCCAATGGACCAAGCAATGAGAACCTCATCAGCTAAAGGCACCCCTACTTTGAGCAGGAGACTGGAGCCAGGTGATCTCCCCAGCCTGCACCATCACTGCACTGGATGCCATCCCCACAGGGATCAGGAGCTGTGCCCCATCACTGCCACACCCAAGGCAATGTGCTGTTCAATCCAGAGCTGGCCAACACCCACTGCTCCCAAGTGTTCCCACTTCAGGTGCCCCAGGAAAACATATTTTGCTTACTTGAGGTGCAGGGGGTTGGCAGAGCTGCGCTGCAGGATGCCCTGGATGTGCTTCTCAAAGGAATGCTCTGACTCAGCCACGATGCGCAGGGGGGACACGGCCAGGTCCTTGTCCTCCCTGGTGCACAGCAGGGGAGGGGAGGCAGGATGGACAGTGCTTCTACCACACAACAGCACAAGGGAGAACACAGTCAGAGCACTCAAACTGAAACCAGCTCAGAGCTTAACTGCTACTGGAAGTGAGGAACTCCTCCACTGTGCAATTCCTGTGTTACTGCAGGGGGTTCTAAAAGCAGCTGTTTTATGTGGTAAATCCAGCCCTAGCAGGGCAGGTAAGGCTCACATCCCCACACCTGTTTGGTCATGGCTCAAACTAGCAAGAATTATAAATATCCTTTGGCTTAAGGAGAAGAAAGTTCCAGAACAGGGCAGGCAGGCACTGGAACAGCAGCATAACCTTCTTCACAAAGCACCCCACCTTCACTTCACTGCCCACCTGTGTCGTAACAGTGAAATAAATAAAAGATCTATAGGAGAACCTGCTGTTAACACTGGATCTGCTGCTGGTACCTCTCCTGCCTTAAACAGTGCCCTGCAGAAATAAGCTAAAAATAGTGTCATCCCCTCAAGGTGTTCATTTCATTGTGCAAATGCACATTTACACCATGCTGTATCTCTGCCACCACCTCCAAAGAAGGTAACTGGAAGCACAAACTTTTCCCCCCTTCATGCACATATAACCACAGCAACCCATTAACAATATCCACACTACTGTAAAGCCTCAACAATAACATCAAGAACATTTTTTTGTCCTAATACTCACTGAGTATTAATTATAATTAATTAATTACATTCCCTACAAACTCCTTATCAATAGTAGGTAACTACTACAGTAACACATTAGTACTCAGCCAGGGAGTGCTCAGAAAGCAAAACTTCACTGTGTGTCCTAAGAGGTACAGAAGTCTGGGGTGAAACAATCAAAGAGTAATTGAAAAATAGGAATATCCTTTTTTGGTTCTTTCCTTCAACTGAGAACCACGTACAAGAGAGGCCTTGTAATGCACTCGTAGGTGTTGGTGATGCAAATCATTGTGGGCCCCAGGATATCAGAAACGATCCAAAATCCTCTAATTGGAGCAGGCTGCCTGAAGGGAAGAACACAAAAATTACCCAGTCAGGAAAGCTCTTTGTTCCTGAATTTGTGCATGTTCACTCTTTTGGAAATGCTCCAAGATCAGGTAAAGGGAAGTGAAAATTTCTACTGGTCTGCCAGGTGATTTTCAGACAGTAACACAAGAATTTAAGCTACTACCCTAACTGAGCAGTAAGAAACCTGATATACAGATTGCTTAGTTGTATTGTTTGAAATCTTTTGAACTTGCTTCATTACTTTAATGGCAAGAATGCAGCACAAGATGACAAATCATAAATATTTTCCATAGCAAGTCCCCAGTTTGAAAGCAACTGAGAAAGGTTTTGTTTTTTACCTGCACGGCAGTGGTTTTGTACAAAGAATATGTTCAACAAAGCACTTCTGTTCTGCTCCCAGCTCTTGTAAACTGTCTTTGTCTTCCTCATCTACAAGGAAACATGTCAGGATGCATCAGATCCACTTTGCAGGGTGAGGGATTCAGTAAGCCTGTTACTGGCAGACATTCATCTGTTCCTCACTTCCCTCACTCACCTGAACCAAGGAATTTGTGCAGTTTATTGATCCATGTCAAACCCACGCTGTGGACACCAGCTTCATGTGTGCAGTGGTATCTAGAGGGACATTTGGGATCTGAAATTGAAGTAGAAAAATGTAAGAGACAGTACTTAACTGAGAAAAACTCACCCTTCACACCTGCACTGCTGATCCTGTGTATCAACTTAGTGTCCAGTCAGCTTTAACATCTTAGTGTAAGTACCAAAAACAGAGCTATGTGTGTTACA